TTGATTTTTGCTGGCTTATAGTCAAATTTAACGGTTCAATAAACAAAATTCTGACAATAAACTGCAAAAGTGCAAGAAATTCTTTATCCCGGACGAGCCCCCAATTCTGTTATGGGTCAGAATTACCCGAAATGCCAGCAAAGATCAATAACACAATTTAAACTTAACAATAATTTATTTACAGTAATATATAATAAGTATATGAAACATAAAGTACAAACTTAGCAAGAATCTAAGAATACATACATCAGAGTGTCCGTTGCTGCACACAATGTCCCAATGAAAATATATCCCAGTTATATCTCAATAGTGCTTATACGACAAAGTATTCACAATTATTGTATGCATCGAATTGACAGGGTATTTATACAGTATCATAAATCTAGAATATTCTAGAAATTGTTAAAACATGATATTACTGGAACAATCTAGACATACACAAAATTTAAGAATGTTCTAGATAAAATGACCAAACATGTTGACCACTCTGGAATGTTCAAGAAACTTAATGTTACTAATTATATACATAATAAAACAATACACATCTCACAACAATACATTGTGTTAATTTGTACATTAAATTATTAGAACATAAACTCAGGTAGAGTAAGAGGGATATTCATCTCCTGAGAACCCTACGCAGTTACACACGTTACGCAATTATATCCTCATTATATGCTAGAAGAATTTGACTAATTCTGAAGCTAGATGGATTACAGAGAAACAAGCCTATACAGATGCTTTTCTTTGACTGTAATATAGATTATGTAGATCTTTATTTCTTTGGGTCACCTTCGTGCAGTAATATAGACTATATTAGATATTTCAAGATTTTAAAATGGCATGATTTATAAATCATAAAATTCAGATTCAAGAATAAAACTCTCCAGTATACTTTTTTGAAGCTGAGAAGGTCCGGGGTGTTTGCTGCTTTACAACATTTCCTTTGTGTACAATGCAGTCATCTATAAACAAGACCACATTGTTAAATACCATGACAATGCCAGTATTATTTTTTTTTTTGACAAAATTACTTAAAAAACAAATAATATGTAGGACTTCACTATTGTATATAAAATGTGTATTATTAAGTTCTCTTCTTTAAATTTATATTAAACCTTTCATGTATAAAATTGTATTACGTTCTGGTATGGAGTTCATTTATCATATTATACATGTAGGGGGGGTGTGGTGTTATACAGTATTTTCTTTTTGATAATGTGCAAAGTAAACTTTATCTTTAATACTTAAGAAAAGCAGAAATGGTATCAACGAAAAATATTTAAACTATAATCCAGAAAATTCATAGTAGAAATGTGAGAACACAAAACCAACTCACTACTTGTACACATTGTCAGGGTGTGTGCAGAGTTTAAGAAATTGAACAAACCTAGTGAAACGTAAACATATATCAATAACAGAGCTCGTGTCATATTTACAAGAGAACCAGTTGATTAGGTTTCATTATCTTGTAGAACATTTTAGAAAATATTTATTTCGATTCTGTGTCCAAGTCTCCTTAACCTTAAGCTTAATTTTGAATGATTTAAAACGCTAGACTAAGTGGGGTTTTTTCAACATTAAATTCTTTTTCCACTGTTAAAGACCTTTGTATTCTATATTTTAGATAATACATCTTTATAATCACAAATCATTTATAAAGTAAAATAATATTTTATACATAAATCTATATTAAGCGCTATATACAATAAAAATTTCTTTAATAAATTATAACATAAAAATTATTAGATTGATCTATAATTACATTGTCAATTTTCAGAAACGTCTTTGAATATAAGAACATATTTTGAGCTTTTTTTGCTCAAACTTGTGCGGCAAGTAATTATAGTATAATATACATCTTCTAATTTTGTTTTCTCTGTGATTACTCTTTGAAATTTATGTGAGTTGAATTTTTATTATATATACACACCTAAATTCCCTTCCTGATGCACATATCTTATATCATCTTATACACGATGATATATAAATGATAACTATAGTAAAAAATAAAGTTTTGCAATGTTCTCTCTATACATGTAATTCTATATTTTCAGTAATGGTTTCACTGTAGAGCCATAATGATCACTATATATGTGGAAAACCAGAATCTCAAAAGTAATAAATTATCTATAACAAATCAAATTTAAGGAGATGCATATCAAAGTTTTAACCAGAATTAACGAAAGTGTTTAGAGCGACAATTTATTACTATAATTAGCCATCATAACTTTCTTTAGTTTACAATAGCATATTTTGTCAGAGAATTTAGTTTTTAAACTAAATGTATTTATAGATAATTTAAACATTGTAACAAGTTTTAGAATTAAGTGAATTAGGTGTCTTTTGAATCCTTTTAGTTGCCCCTAATCGCTTTAAGAAACTGTTTTCTTTAATCGGGGTTTTAAAGAATATGAATCATTGCAAAACCTAACATACCTTATTTAAGAAATATATTGAAATTTTTAAATTATGCATCTTTTTTTAACAGAATATAAAAAACACCGTTTTGCTTGTACATGTATGTGGTTCGAATGTATTTTATAAACCCTTCTGAGCGTATAAGAATACCTCCATCTTTTGGTTATATATTGTGTTACCAAATTTAGGTCACTATTAACATAATGTCCAAAAAAGAATATCAAAACATTTGTTTCGTTTTATATGTTCTTGATAAGTTTTGTAAGAACTTATGAATTTAAATTACTACCATTTGACACCACAATCATGTCAAAATATTGAAACGTTGTTTTAAAAACTTTGCCAAGAAAGTGAATGCACTACATACAATTGACAAATCTTTATGAAGGAAGATAATGTCATCAAATCACTTTTCATTTCCTCGATATATTTTTAGACCTGATTACCAAAGGTGGTTTCCCTAAGCCCTTTTTATTGATCATTCAACTGAGGGCATTTTGTAATGAGTGAAAGAAACTCATAATTCCCTCTTAATTGTTTTAATGAACAAGTACGACAGGGAGGTTAAGATGAAATGAAGGCAACTGATGGAGAGAGAAATTAAATCTTTCACTTCAAAGTTTCAGCTGTTGCTAACCATCAGCAGTTGAGAACCATTTTAAAACAACGTACCTTCTGAAAAAAATCTGCAATTACCTTTAACATTTTTTAAAATTATTTTTTGTGTGGGGGGTGTGTCTATCTGGTTTTTAAGTATTAACAAGACTTCTGGGTCTTCCATCAAAGACACTTATAATCCAAAAGCACTTTATGAATAGTTTTCCACAAAGAAATTTAAAATATGAATAAAAGCTACAAATTAAGAGGAATTATATGAGTTTCTGTAGGTTTTAGGTATTATTATTTCTCAAAAAGTTATATTTCTTCATTGATCTATACATTAAGTCAACTGAGGTATACTGGCAAGTATAAAAAATAGTTTAATGATTGGCACATAAAAGAAATATTGAATTTGTAGGGATGTCAAAATTGTTATTTTCCTTAGTCGAACATTCGATTGCATTATTTAAAAAACGATAGTCGACTATTCGGTATATTCTCTGAAGATGAAATCTCTTTGGTACATAGCGTATTTATAAACTCAAACATCAACCGTAACATCAAATGTCTATATAACATATCGTGACGTGTCGCATAGGTGTACTTTCCATATGTACATCGATGATTGATTGTATATTGTTTAACGTCCCTTTCGAGAATTTTTCACTCATATAGAGACGCCACTATTTGCGAGAGGTGCAAATTCTGTCCTTTACTCGGCATTCAGGGCTATTGAGCAGAGAGGGATCTTTTTCGTGCCAGCACCTACTGCGACACGGACCTTCGGTTTACACGGTCTCATCCGAAGGACAGGTCTCCACGTCCCACAGTGGGATTCAAACCCGCGGCGTAAGGATCAACTCCTTACTTCGCGACTCTAGAGCAGATGCTCTAATCACTGCGCCACGCGGGCGACCATAGGTACATGGAAAGTGAACATATTTTGTTATGGAAAATTATTTCTATACTGGGACTGTATTTGAGCTCTTATTCGTCTTAGAACGCATTATACTACATTATATGCATATGGCTTGAGGGTTTTTCAATTCTAAAACGGGATTTTCTTCTCTTTTTATCCCCTTTTCTTGCATTTATTGAATATTCGAATGTCGTTTCATTCGATCGTCGGTCCATTCGACTGAGAGTCGAATAATCGACTATTTGTTGACATCCCTAGTATTGACACCTTATTGTTCGTGGTCACGAGCTGTTGTAAGTTTCCTTATTTTTAGAGATCACTTTGACTCTATGAAAAACAACTAAAAACATTTCGTGTATTTATTTCAATTTTTATATATATTTGTATAAAGTACATTTTACAACAACTCTTAAACTAACATAACTGTCCTAAGTGAAGAAATATTAATATAAAAAGCACAAAGAATTCACTTTTACATGGATACCCACTTCCGCCCCAGCCCGGGGTTGAACTCTCGATCTTCGGAATCTGTCTCCTAGAAGTGCAGGAACAGCGCGCTAGACCGCATGGCTATCTAGGCAAGTCAAAAAACTTGCTTTCGATGCCGATGGAATTCTCGCGGCGCTGCCCTACACTACACGGTCATTGAGAATAGAAGTGAGATACAGCTATTTTAACATTAGTTTTAACAGAGGATTGTTACCAATACATGTTGTAATGAAATTAATTATTATTTATGAAGCACATTTTGCAACAACTCTTAAACTAACATGACTGCCCTAAGTGAAGAAATATTAATACAGAAAGCACAAAGAATTTACTTTTACATGGATACCCACTTCCGCCCCAGCCCGGGGTTGAAAGATATATATATATATATATATATATATATATATATATATATATATATATATATATATATATATATATATATATATATATATATATATATATAATTGAATACAATTAAATGTTTGGCGAAACAGTTATCCATATTTTGTTGATATGAACAAAATAGCTTATAAAACATTTCACCATACTTAGGCTTGTAAATAATTATTTATATATTAATAGTCATCAATTCTCTAAGTTCAAATTCCATTCGAGCAATAACACTGTTAAGAGCTGCCACCTTTTCATGAAGAACATGATAAGCTAATTTTCTGCTGCTATCGAAAATAGTTTTAATGTCTTTGACGATAAATATTACAGCAAGGACACCGCCTGCAATGCTTAAAGATTTTGAGGAAGTCGACGCAATACTAGTTGCGACAGTTTCTACTGCATCAACAGCCTTAGAGGTTCTTATGGCATGAATCGTTACTGACTTCAAAGATAGATTAGTGATATTTTTCACTACCGAGACGCTAGTCACACCTGTGCTTAATCCAAATTTCTCCTTTTTTACCATATCCTCAAGTTCATCAATGAAAGATCTGTGCCTTTTCAAAACTCTCTCGGCCTCCCCACTTTTTTTCTTTATTTTAATATACGCTGCTGTGCTATGACCTATATCAGCTATACCTGATGCTGCATCAGTTGCTGCTCCTACAATCGTCAATACAAGTGATACACCTGAGGTAAAAGGAATAAGTACTAGCCCAGCGTTTGATAGTCCTCCTGAAATAATACTAGTAGAAGAATATACTATCTTTCCGATGTGAAGACGCTTATCTTCTTTCTGAATTTCGTCTCGTAATTCCTTTAGTTTTCTAATTACATTTTGTCTGGAAGCAATGACACCTTGCACTTTTGTTTGTGCTTCTTGATTAGCCATTTTCACGAAATTCTATCTATCCAAATGATTCTAATTATTGTAATAAAGTCCTGAAGGTTAATAGTCATACATGTACCCACTATTTCCGTATTCAATTATATATATATATATATATATATATATATATATATATATATATATATATATATATATATATATATATATATATATATATATATATATATATATATATATATATATATATAAGATGTGTTTAGTACTACTCCTATTAAAGTTTTTTTTCTGTACTAAGTTTTCAGATATATTCTGTGACTTAGAACACAAAGTGCTTGTGATTATGTAATGTAGGAGTTTATATATATTTTTATATTAATCAATCAAACACGTCACTGACATACTTTTTGCTGATTTCGGTTTCAAATCAACAGGAAAATTTTACATATGTGACGCGCCAAGCAAAAACCTCCCTTATATCTATTATGACGTAACGTCAAAAGACGCGTCTAAAGTCAACAACGTAAAAGCGACGTAAAAACGCCTCCTCGAGAAAAACTCTCCTCAGCAGAACAAGGGGATGTTGTTTTATTTATATGCTAAGAAAGATTCTTGGGTGTGGTTTGATGTAGTTTATTCTTTAAGAAGTTATTTTCTGTCAAGTGTCTGTGTGACCTATCCTTTTTCACAATTATTAAGTGTATATTTTTTAAGGATGTCCAGTGGTGGTTAAAAAATTCCCGTAAGGCCGTTTTAACATGAAGTTTGTTTGCCCTCTCTCTATTCAGTTAAAAAAATTGCGTCGGTAGGTAGGTCAAATTTTTTGTCGGAAATGTGCAATGTTGAATAAGATTGAAGGCATTTCTGAAATATTGATTGGATAAGAAAATTCCGAAATGACTAATTCGGAGTTTTTGAAAAGATTTAGTCGGTTCATCTTAAAAGGTCAAACAAACAAGTTTTTAAAGATCGTATTTTTTTTTAATTTCAGCTGCTAATTACCAGCTGTTTCATCGTGATGCACATGCAAGAAAAATTAAACAGAAGCATAAAACTAGGAAAGGTATCTATTTTTAAAATGGCGATGCAGTGAAAATTGACCTGAATTACTCAATATATACGGTATAAACTGAGTTGGGCAGTTAACGCTGCGGTTTATATATATAAAAAAAAATTGTACGCTGTTCCAACCCAGTTTACACCGTACATATAAATTGGATAGCTTTTTCAGTCCTTATAATTTAATTGTTTTAATTCATTTCTTGTATGAACAAAGTAGACTTTCATTAAAAATCACTTCAACAGTTCCAGTTGTACAATATTTAAATGTTCAGACGGATCGACATGTTTTTTTATGCAAGTGATTGTGATATAGGTAACCCGATTTATGCAATAAAAAATAAGTTCTTTATCCAAGAAAATACCGCGTTATAACCATAATTAAATTAAAGAAGTATATAACTAAATCTTTTCACTTCCGTAGATGATGCAAGTTGGAAAAATATACATTGCCCTTCCCTGCACTTTTCTGCGCAAGTAGTAAGAACTGTACATAATCTTTGATAGCTTGCCAAGGATATTGATAAATAGTGAAGTTTAGTTAAAAATGTAATTCTCTATAGATACGACACAGAGAATTTGACTTGGCCACTTCTTCCGGAATTAGTTTTATGCTGTTGATCTAAAATGAATATTTTGAAGGAAGGGCTTTTGAGCTTCTCAATTTATTTTGTTATTGTTTAACACCTTCTCATGTACGCAAAAATGTAGGAAAAATTTGCCCCCCCCCCCCCTTCTGCTGTGTCTGCTCTTCGGAGACTTCGTGCACATTTTGTCGTGAATACATGTATATATACAGTACGGATGCTCGCATACGTTGTAAGTTACTGTCCCACTTTCTAAGATATTTTATGATTGAGAACAAAACAGATTGGACATATGTTTATCGACATTTTCCGGGGGAAAAATGAAACATATCGTTATTTTGCTGCTCTGTTATGTATTCATAATCCGTTTGCTAGAGGTTACAGTGTATACACAATACATCGAATGTGAAACTGGCAAACATGATACATCGCTAAAATGTTATAAGTAATACAAATTGTTACAAATTAATACATATTGTTTGAACGCCTTTAAAACATTCCAATCTTTTATCATTTAGTACATGATTTTTCTACAAAAGAAGAGAAAAGAAGGTGAAGAGGTGACTTTAAAGGTTTGGATTCCTGAAAACAACGTAATGTCGGCAATTTATAAAACCGTTGAATTGGGCTGCCGCATGTTGTAACGCAGTCTCCGGTGCTTATTCAGCCCTTTGAACTGAGAACAGAATGAAAGTTTACATTATACATTTTAGAGTTATAAATTTTCATTGTAATCATTTTATTTTAACCTTCAATATTAAGGATTTATTTAACCTGCAATAATTATTTCCCCGACAAAGTTTTTACTACCAACATTTTATGATTTCACATCTACCTTGGAAAATAATAATCTTGTTTCCTTCTGTTGAATTGCAATATAAAATGAATATGTTCATGCATTTCAAATTATTAAAGTTAGCTACCAATTACACGTAATTTAATATATACAAGTAACAAACTAAAACAATTTCAATAATTTTTCCTGCAAAGTCGCAGTGTACATGCCTACATGTACATACATGTACATCTATGGGGAGTTTTGTGAAAAAAATAGCAAAACTAGTACGGTACAAATCTGCACAAAATATGAAAAAAAAACAATTATCAAAACCCTCTATGTTTTAAAATAAAGGATTTATCAAACATGAAAAATACATGTTTGTCGACTTGAATATTGCGTGCTTGTTCAACTAACCCAGGCCATTTATAAAGCTTTCTTCTTTTAATGATTTAAAAAAAACGTATGATTGTATACATGTAAATTACATCAATTAATTATTTTAAAAAAAACAACAAAAGTTATAACTTACGATTGTACATGTGTGTGCCTTGTTCTTGTTTAATTAATTCAGGTAATTAATCAAGCGTGAATGTCCATAGCCGATACCCCCCCCCCCCCCGTTTACAATAATGGTAGAATATTAAGAATGTTTTACCCGTTCTCTTATTTTCTGTTGCAACTAATATTTGATTTGATCAAAATAAATCATAATGTGTGAATGTACTTTCTCAGGAAGGTAACGGTAAAGTTTAGGTTAGACTTTACAGTCTATGTCTAGAAATGAATGTAAATGAAGTTGTTGAGTGTGTTACTTGTGGGATTCATGTATATTAGGGTATTGTGGTTTGTTATTCGGTTAGTGTACAATGATCGGTCAAAATTAATTCATGATCAACTTCATACATGCATATAAATTGCAGTTTTTTTTTTCGAACCATATTTTAAAATATATAAACGTATATTATTGGATGGGGTGGGTGTTACATTCTGATTCACTTAAAAGTATGCTAGCGCATTTAGTTACGAAATAATTCTAAACATATTTCTTTTCAATAATTTAAACATAAATATAAAATAGGAAACGTAGGGCCAGGAAAAATTATCAAATGTTTAAAGATTAACAAGAAATAATGGTTTAAACTCTAATTTAACACTTTAAAATTTGATGCACCTAATCTTAATTGTTTTGATTTGAACACGTATTTATTGAGATAAGCAAAAGGATTGGAAACAAGTTTGACAACTTACAACTTCCTCATGTGAATTAAAGATCGATTTCATAACGACATCCAAAGAAGAAAAGGATCAAACTCTACTACAAGAGACAAATACAATTTATTCCTGGATGCAGAATATCTGAATATCTTATCAATAACCCAAAAAGTCTTCAGAGATGAGGGCGTACAATGTAGTTCTGCATACTTTTTTCCCGTATTTAAAAATTCGGAGCTAAACATGTAAATACATATGGTAAACGTGGTAAAAGAAATGTGGTATCCTTTAGGTAAAAAAAAACCTGTCATACTCTTTAAAAATTTAGGTACTTAAAACGTAAACTGTGACAAAACTTTTTTTATACTGTGTATTGTGTAGACTTTTGATGCCCGGGGGAGGGGGTGGTAGAGGCTGTCTCAAACTGTTTAAAGATATTGATAACTACTTTGATAGTGTAAGTGCCTCTGCTTAATTGGGGTTGAACCCAAGGCCTCTGGCTTGACAGTCCAGTACTCTACCAAATGAGCTTAAGGGTTAACATGCTACCCAAGCTCGTACGTAGGAAGATGTGGTGCATGTATAGTTTGTACTGCCATAATAAGATTTTTTTCATCTAAATGTTGATTATTTTCTTTTACTGTTGCAGTGATGTAGATTTCTGCCATTTTCTTGCATTAAAAAAGCCATAAATTGGAAAATCTTTTAGAGGAAGAGAAGATTTTTTATTTCAGTTTTGTTCTTTTTTCCCTTGTCAATCATTTCGGTGCCCCCCCCCCCTTTTCATTTTTTCAAAGATTTAGTTTAGAATGTATATTTTATTAGTACGATGAAATATCTTAATTATTGATATTTCTAAGGGAATCAAATCAAAAGTTTAAAAATACAAGTATCATCAAATTATTATATATACTTCTCGTTATTTTACGATTTTACGTTATGAAAATCCATGGAGTTACGCACGCGTACACCGTATGTCAAAGTAAATTTTCTGTCTTTTTCATGCGATATTTTATACATTTATACACAGAAATATATGTCATGTTATACATCAAATGAAAGAGAAAGAAAAACTCTACCAGAATCAATAAAAAACTGAAAATGTCAAAATTCTTCGTTAAGGGAGGTTTTTGCTTGGCGCGTCACATATATTCATTAAATAATTGTTCCGTGTAAATAAAATGTCATTTGGTTGGATTTTGGCTGATTCCAGTAGCAGGGTTTTTTTAACTAAAAGCGAGAAGGAATATTTTGTCTTCTTGATCAATATGTGGGATGACCGGAGGATCTCCCTTTTATATGAATAAGACAATTGATCGCGGCCCTTGAATCTCCGAGATCATCATTTTAAGCAAAGCAAAACTAATTGAAATATGAATTAATTAATGAATTATTAAATGAAAGAT